AGTAATATTGTTGTTTGACATGAAGCACTTGTAATTATTATTGTGAAGTGCAAGATGATTATATTGGGATTGTGCTAATTTGGTTTTGTAAGTGATATAATATCGAACTGTTGACTAATGCAGTAGTCCAGCCATAGTTCTCTTTTGATAATATTGTTATATCCTTGTATACTATGTGTTGCAATAGTTATGTGCTGTTGTGTATAGTGTCACAGGTTAATAAGTGACTTTCGCTACTAACGATCCAGCTCTAGTAGGAAGCGACCAATGACCCTGCTCCAAGACTAACTTAATGCAACGAAACAGACTGGTAATGTTGTCCCCTTTCTGGTTTTTTATTTACCCAAATTGATTTTTTATTATTTATTTCGCTTCTACTTATATACCTTATTTTTTCTTAAATTAATTACATTATAATTAATCGTATGATCGATTGACTTTAAATTAACTACACGGCTAATTCCATATACTATCATTGACTTTCAAAATAACTATATATTTTATGCATATTCATTATTATACTATACATTATTATTTAATTAGTAGTATTGATTCCTGCAAAACTGATCTTATGTAGTGCATAATTTTTCGATCCTGATCGATCAATTGCCACGTGATCATGTGAACATAGTGTTGAATGAATGTTTGCATGACCCCTTATGGCTACATGCACTTGCTATCTATACACAAATTTTTTTTTTTTTTTTTTTTTTATTTATTTATTTATTTTTATTTATTTATTTATTTATTTATTTATTGTCTTGTTTTTTAGAGCTCCAAATTGATGCCCCTCACTAAATATACCATATACTTTTCTCCACCATGACATGAGCTAGATTCTCTATAATCATTGTCCTCAAGATCATTACTAACTCTTTCACTTTCGTCAGGGCTTTGATTTAAATCATATACCCTTTTGACTCTGTTCCTGGTAATAGAGTCCCTGAATTTAGTTCCATCCAATTCGGCCAGGTAATATTAACCATTCTTTCCAATTTTTCGAACCTTATAAGGTCCATTCCAATGATAATCCAATTTTCTGGATAATGAAGTTTCCAAAGTTGAATCATAGACCAGCACTAGGTTCCCTACCACAATCTTTTCTTGCTGATATTGTTACATCGATCGTAAAAGTACTTCCATCATTCTTTTAATTCATCATGGTTGACACATACTTCTTTTAATTCATGGATCAAATTCTTCATTTGCTGTGCTCGAAACTCCAAAAGTTTTTCAGTAGTCCAATCTCTTTTCAGCATGTAAGTCTGATAAGTCTCGATCGTTAACTCCAAAGGCATTATGGCATCTCTCCCATATATGAGCCGGAAAGGAGAATATCCGAGTTCTCCGACAGTAATATTCAATGCGCACACAACTTCATGCAGGTACTCATGCCATCAATTTTGCTTATCAGCATACACCTTACGCAGCACCTTCATAATTTTTTGGATAGTCCTTTCTGATCTCCCATTTGCTTCTGAGTGATAACTTGCTGCAAAGTTTTGGTTGATGCCCAACTGCATGGTAAGTTTGCTTATGACATCATTTTTGAATTCTGTGCACTTATTCGACACTAATTTCGCAAAACATCTATGCCGGGTGATCACATCATCCCAGATGAACTGGGCAATACTCTTTGCATTTTTTCTTTTGAGTGCCCGGGCCTCCACATATCCAGTTAAATCTTCTACAGCTACTACTATATGTTCATGTCCAGCATTAGTACATTGCATTGGGCCTATGTAATTGATATACAATCGATGGAAAATTCAACTGGTCACTACTATATGAAGGGGCTCTTTAGGTCTCTTGAGCTTACACCTTTGACACACTATGCAGGACATCACATGAGTCCTCATGTCCTTATACAGATCACCTGACACCCATTCATAGCTCATTAAAATCTTTCTAATGCAACTGTTGATACCTCGGTATCCCCCTTCACTAACAATCTCTTTATGATTTGCCTTTATAATTATCTTCTATTCTTCATGGTCAAAAATTACTCTTCGTGGCAGCTTTTCTTTGGCAGATCTGCAGTATAATTGTTCATATAACAGACAATATTTTCTCAACTTCACTTTAATCGTCTAAGATCTTCCTTCATCACGTGAGACGACCAGCCAAAAAATCTCAGACAGTGTATTATGGCCTTTAAATCATTCAATTTTTGACTTTCAATATTCACGCGCATTAATAGATCCTCAACATAATCATCATCCATGTGACCTTGCTGGTTTGGAGGGTTTGGATATCTTAAGATACTATCAGCATTTGAATGCAACTTCCTCGACTTATATCATATACAGAAATTGAATGTTTGAAGGGCCAATACTCATCGCATGAGTCACCCTTTGAGCACTGCCTTATTAAACAATCACTCTAATGCATAATGATCGACCTAAACATCAAACGTGGTTCCTCTCACATATCGCTCATTTATATTACAACCAAATACCACACCCATATATTTTTTTTCTGTTATGGTATAGTTGAGCTCATGATTATTTAATTTCCTAGATTCGAACGATATAGGATGCAATTGACCTTCTTTATCTCGTTGCTCTAGTATTACACCTAAAGACACTTCACATGTGTCTGTAAACATCTGATACAGACATTTCCTGTTTTTGGCTTTCTCCTAATTAGGTGCTTTTAACATAACATCTTTTACTAATACCTCTTTTAATCTTTGAAATGAATGTTCTTGTTCAATGTTCCATTGATATCCAATATCCTGCTTTGTTAGGTCTGTCAATGGTTTCACCACTTTGCTATAATTTTTGATGAATCTTTGATAATAATTCATTACTCCCAAAAACGACCTGACTTCAGTAATGTTGGTGGGACTTTTCCATTCTACCATCCTTCTGATTCATTTTGGATCTACTTTTATTCCCCTTTTGCTTACAGCATACCTGTACATATTCAACTCTTTATAGAGCAAATGGCACTTCTTTGCCACGAATGTTAACCCAACCTCTCTAAACCTGCGTGCCAATTTTATGAATAAGTCAAAATGATGTTCAATTGTACCATCTGTTCACAATCTTATATCATCTTAATAAGCAGCAGTGACATTACGCTATTTATCACTCTCTAATACAACGTCTATTAAGCGCTGAAACATCTCACTAGCATTCTTCAATCCTATACACATAACGGTGTACCTCAACAATTCAATAGGAGTGGCAACCGCAACCTATCTCTATCTTCCTCCTGGATCTGGATTTGCTAATATTCTTTATATGCATCGACTGACGAAATACCAGTCATGGCCAACTGCTGCTTCCAGAATGTTACGGATTAGAGGCAACGGATATTCATCCTTTACAATATACTTGTTTAGCAGTCTCATGTCTCCCATGACCCGAAATTGGTCAGTTTCACCCTCTTTCTTGTTTACAGAAAAATAGTAATATACATATTGCCCTTTTTCTTTTTCTAGTAAACCATACTTGACCATTTCGCGAAGTTGGTTCTCAAACAACATAGCACGTTCTGGATTATTAATTCAAATGGATCTTATTCTGGTTTCTGGTACTATCTTTCCACCCGTGCGTACCTCATATTTAATTAGGTCTGTCTTTCCAATTTCAGAGATTTCGAAAGCAAATACCTCTGGGACATGTTCAATTAGCTGTTTTATTATATTATCCCTAATATCATCAGATATCTTTTAGCTAACATCTAACATATTAATGTTTTCTATCATAAGACGCATTACTACCTCTGGTCCTTCAATATTAATTATACTGTTCTTATGCTCGTAATCTGTAGTCCAATAAATGACCCAACCATAATGCTTCAAACCTATGAGTTGTTGGTCATCGACTGGCTCAATTTTTCTTTTCACTAATCGATTGCCATTCTTGGCTTTTTCTTTTAATACTTTATATTCATCGTTCATTTTTTTAAGTTCGATTCTGTTCACATGGACCCTTCACATTAATAGAACTTCAGTTTCTTCTTCGCTGTCTTCATCATAATCCACATCATATTTATGGTTTACCCAATATTCAGGTACAATAGTAGCCACAAATGACACTTTCTTGTATCTTGAGGCAAGCGAACACCAATATTGATTATTTCTCCATTGCAGGTCTTATTTAGTGGCTGTGATCCATAGCATGCCTAATAATATATTGAAACTGGCAGACGCTATGACATAAAATCCTTGTGCTACTACTATATCGTCAGCATCGACTTCTAAGTTTGGTATGTAGCCAAGTAAGTTGCTGATACTGTCATCGACCATTCTACCCTTTTCATTAACAGGTCTCCATGATAGTCCCCTTTCTCTAGCATATTTCTTACAAATAAGATTTAATCGGGATCCAGGATCATTTGGAGCATTTATTCTTTCTCCATTGATAGCGATTACACTCATAGGAACATCACCCGCTTGTTTCATATTCCTTACCTGAACCGCACGAACAATCCTCACATTGGTATCTAACAGAACAATGTCACTCTTTCTTTTTTTTTGAGTTAATGCCTTTAATACCTCTGACCTAGCTTTCAGGGACCACTTAAACAATTGACCAAGAGTCAATTTTATTCCCATTTCAGTGATTTTCTTGAGAATATCGAGTTCCTGACTTAATTCCGATAATGGTATATATATTACAGGCCCCAACATAGGCGATTCAACAGGATTATTTCTGGGGATGTTGTTTTCTTTCTTTTTCTTTTTATCCTTATCTTCGACCACAACATCTTTTGCATTCTCATCTATATATCTTTTTTTTCATAAATTATAGTTCCGTATATTGAATATGGGTTCTTTCCTTACCATCTTGACTTTCAGGTATTCAACACCTGGATTATCTGTTGTTGAGGTTATTTCAAAATATCGAATGTTTGCACCCCTTATTTCAACATCTTCATTTCTCAGATTTCTTAGTTCATTTCTCTGTTCAACAGGTGGACCTTGAAGATCTTGATTCGGGCAATTGCATGAGATGTGTCCCTCTTGTTGACATTTAAAGCACTGTTGATTATCAATGTTTGTTCTTGAACCTCGTGTTGGATACTGGTTTCTTGGGACAGAATGTCCAGGTGCTGTGCTACTAGTAAGTTTCTTAACCACCTTTACTAATTCCTTGATGTCTGCTTCGATCTTATCTATTTTTGTAACATCACTGGCTTCTTGGTTTACCCAGTTTATTGTTAAAGCCTCAAGCACAGTAGTTATGCTATCAATGGTCGATTTACTTGGTTGAGATTTCTCTTCAACTAATAACAAACCCCTTTTATCACGATGCTCTTTGTCCTTTTGAAAGGTTTCAATTTGAAGCACACATTCCCTTGCTTTAATATAATTGAATGGACAAAAACATTCCATCCTGGATCGATATGGTTCATGTAAGCCATCTAAGAACCAATCGTGTTGTTCATAGCTTCTTATCTTGTTTTTAATCACATCAGTATAGGCTTCAAATCTACTTGCATATCCCCTTGCTGTTACTCTTTCCCCTTGTCTGATATTCCTTAATCGATTAATTTTTGTTCTATCATCATTCTCAGCATTTATTATTTTCACTATAGCATCCTTTAAATCTGACCATTGTGTCTTAGTTTTTATCAATTCTCATACCCATGGCTTGGTTTCCTCCAGCATGTGCAAGACGATTATTCCACATTGTGTTTCCTTATCTCAACCTTTTGATTTTGCAAACCTCTCATAATCAAAAAGAAACCCATTGATATCGTCCTTGTTTTCCCCATGAAAGAATGGCTTTGTCAAATCCTTCGACATCATGGCCACATGGATACCAGCGAAGATCCTGATACAATAAGCAATTTGGGTATGTATGATTGTTTTAGTGCTTTAACGACTTGCTACAGTGTCTAATAAATATTTGTTTTTTTTTTTTTTTTTTTTACTGACTTAACGAAATCCTTTTCTATATTTGGCGAGATGACTGATTATTATTGCCCAGGTTCTTGTGTCATGGGTTAATAAGTGACTTTTGCCACTAATGATCCAGCTCTAGTAGGAAGTGACCAACAACCCCACTCTAAGACTAACTTAATGCAATGAAACAGACTGGTAATGTTGTCCTCTTTCTGGTTTTTTATTTACCCCAAATTGATTTTTTATTATTTATTTCGCTTCTACTTATATACCTTATTTTTTCTTAAATTAATTACATCATAATTGATCATATGATCGATTGACTTTAAATTAACTACACAGCTAATTCCATATACTATCATTGACTTTCAAATTGACTATATATTTCATGCATATTCGTTATTATACTATACCTTATTATTTAATTAGTAGTATCGATTCCTGCAAAACCGATCTTACGTAGTGCATAATTTTTCGATCCTGATCGATCGATCACCATGTGATCATGTGAACATGGCATCGAACGAATGTTTGCATGACCTCTCATGGCTACATGCACTTGCTATCTATACACAAATTTTTTTTTTTCATTTATTTATTTTTATTTATTTATTTATTTATTTATTTATTTATTTATTGTCTTGTTTTTTAGAGCTCCGAATTGATGCCCCTCACTAAATATACTATATACTTTTCTTCACCACGACAGTAGGGATTGTTATGTTGGTTAGGAAGGTGTGTTGGCATATTATTAGGAGATGTCCATAGCCACTGTGTTTGTTGTAGGTGACTGATTTAGTGATATAGTAGGAGGGTTGAATATTTCCCAGGTAGGTGTGGGCAATGGTGG